TCTGCCGATGCTGCCAGGTGAAAATCCTGTCCTCTCTTAGCCCAGCATGTGAGTGTGGGTGCTGATAATCATGCCGGTCACCGCTTCCCTCAGCCCTCAGACGTACTCGTGCTAACCAGGACGCTTTGCATGCTCCTAGGAGTTGAGCGCTGTACAGTAATCACGCCCTCCTCTGCCACTCTTTCTTTTGGCATGCATTCAGCTCCGCCCGACCACCAGCGTGTGCTGAGGATGACTGTAACTAGCTGTAGAAATCATCTTAAGATAGGTTTGCAATCCTAGCGAGCTCGCCGTTAGGTAAGTTCAGAAAGCTTCCCAGCAGTTAGTGGCCAGGCCAGCTCTTGTCCAAGATGGCTTTCCCTGTTGAGGTTTGGGGAATCCATGAGTTAGTGAGCAAGAGAGTAGGTATGAGCTGGTGCTTCCCCCTTGTCATTTGAGCAAGGATGCTTCTGGTTTTATAAATCATGTTGTGATTTAAAGGGCTAGGAGGGGAGAAAGCTTTTGACAAAGGCAGTGTGCGAAAGCAAGGCCGTCTTGAGTCCTTTCTGACAAGTGGATGGATAAACTGGTATGGTCCCGTCTGACGCCTGCCTCTGTGTTGCTTCTTAGGAGACGCTCTGTCTCTTCCCTCCCGGTCCCCCAGGATAACGCGGATACGCACCCGAGTTCCGGTAAAGAAGTGAGGGTGCCCACGACTGCCCTGTGTGTCTTTGTAAGTATGCTGCCCCCCATGCCCACCCAGCCTGGGTGGGAACAGAGCCTGACAGCCCCAGGACCTTGCACAGCTGCGGCCAGGCTTCCTCTTGTCTCCTGAGGTCGGGCTTTCACTGCTGTTGGCTGTCCTGACTGTGAGGGAGAGATACATTCCTCTTAGCCTGAGGGGGCAGGACACGTGACACTCTGCTCTCCTCTAACACAGGACTGGCTGAGAGGACTGGGAGCATGAAAGGGGACAAGAGAGAGCTGATGAAGTGGCGAGAGGGAGGTGACTGGGGTGGCAAACGGTTGGAGGGCAGCCCGTGCTGCTGTGTCCCAGCTGCCTCCAGTTTAGAGCTAGGGTCCAGTCTGTTTCGGCATCTGGTGAGATGGTGTTGGATTCCCGTGTTATCCCCCGCCTGTATGATGTCCATGCATTAGGGGCTTAAGATGGGAAGCAGAACGCGGTCCCTGGCAGAAGCCACTGTGACCAGAGCTGTCGCCTGGAGTGCAGCACTGGGTTCTTGTGCTAACACATCGTCCGTTCTCCCAGCTGAGGTGGCCAAGCAGAACTAGTACCAGCCTGGGGAGGTTGGTCACAGCAGGGAGGAGACAGCCGAGCACGCAGCAGAGATGGGAGTGTTGGGCTGGGTCTGGGAGTGGCCCCACAGCCAGTGGGGGTGAGTCAGAGGAGCTAGCTTTGTGTGGGGGAGACTTTATACATCTGGAACCTTCGGTCTCAGGTGTGAGGAGGAGCTTTCATCGGTGCTCCCACATGATGCACTGACTGAGGGTGCACCCCTTTGGCTGGAGTAAAGAGAAGCTTGCCTTGGAGGGGAGTTGGACTGGGGCACATCCGGCCCCTTCCCATTTCACACTCTGCTCCTTGATTCCATGAGGGGCCTCGGCAGAGGTCGATGATGATTGGTAAAAGGTCTGATTGCACTAAACGTCACAGTCCCCTCCTTGCCCTCGACTCCCAGCAGCCCACTTGGTGTCCTGGCATGTTAAGTCACGTGCATGGGATGGTGGTGCAGCTGATAACTCGGGAACCTGTCAGCACGTGCTTCTGAGAGCTGCAGTTCACAGCTGACAGTGTCCGACAGAACCGCCCTCGAGGAGACTGGAGAGCGGCAGTCGGGGTGTGATGGTGCATGATCTCAAGTTTTCAATCTGAGACCTCTCCACGCCTGGGAAGATGAAAATACAAGGGCAAGAAATAGCATAGAGATCAGAATTTGGCCACCTGTCATAATTTGAGCAGCAGATCACGAGGGAGAGCGGGAATCAAGTGAGCACGGTGATGCCGGCTTCCCAGTCGGCTGCCGGAGTTGCTCTCAGCTGCAGTTCAGAGGGAGGAGGAGCCAGAGAGCAGTGTCCAGACTCCTGGGCGCTGTCACCCCCTCAGTGGCCTCGGTTGGCTATGCTGAGCACAGGTTACAAGGAAGTCTCTGGTACTCCCTTCTCCCGTCGTGGGTGACCTGCCTTTGTACCTGGTCCCCCTCTAGCCTGAACGCAGATGCCATCTCTTCGGTCTCGTGTTTCAGTTGCAGACATTCTGTGTGCGGAGCTTACTCTTCCGGAGCACAGCTGTTACTTCCTGGAAGACCTGCTCGATCGGGCATAGTAGGGGCGGAGGGACTAGTTTTGTAGTTGAACAGACTGAGGCCTGAAGTCAGAAGCTGACAAGTGTGCGTGTGCGCACTAGGGCCATGGTCCCAGAAAGGGCCACCACTTCAGTCCCATGGTGTCGAGCATGGCGCCTGCACCCACTTCTCTCAGAACTCATCGCAAAAGTTTTCGC